AACGTGCCACGTTATTCAATTTGAGAATCACACGCGTACGTTGTACTCACCGGACTGTAATTACAGTTGCGTGACTAACAGAGTGAACTAAAATTAACGATCGTTTAATAATTGAGATCACGTTTCAACAGCAGCGACAGTTGAGGTATTATTCACGGTGATTTAGATCAAACGTTACGTAGGAATTTGTACAGATCGAGCAACCTGTATTTAATTAAACAACCTGACGGACTGTCGTGGACTTTGATTAATGCACAAATAATTAGTTGGACGTTATTGAGAATGTGATATGTCGACAGCGGTTTCGTGAATTATCGAAATGATTGTGCCTGTCAATCAATTATTTCCAGCTCTGATTAATATTTCTAACAAAGCAAAGATTTCGCAGAAAACGTTCCTAGAAAGATCAGTTTAGGCAGTAAAAACGTTGGATTAATAGAATTTTTTTTTAACAGCATTCGCTGTTATAATTCGAGCCAAATTATTCAGCCTCGAACTCGTTCGTCGTCGTCAACATTAAGCGAGAATAATTTCTTATCTGTCGTCCTCGGTTTAAATCAAAGTGTCTAGCATTAAGATAATGAATACTGAAGTGGTAACACCATCATGTTAATTTCGAACGGTCGAAAGAAATTATTTTTTGAATTTTACGTATATGGAGAGAATTGTTGAAATTCGAATAATTGAGAAAATCATGGCGCTAAAAATGATTTTCAGATGAACTTTAATTTGAAAATTTAAATATGTATGTACATTTATCTTCAAGCAGAAATTATTTCTGATCTGATTAGATTTCCGAAATCATTTATCCTTATTATTTGTTATTTTATTTTATTGTTTCCTTTATTCCCATAAAACTGTTCAAATATTTGGAAATATTTTCAGGAATTAATGAAGAAGGAAGATTTTACCTTGTTTTTTTTTCAAATTATCAAAAGATCGTATGCCGCATTATAGATAACTTTATAACAGATAATATGTAAGAATTTGAACAAATCAATAATGTCAAAAAAGTTGAAGTCAAAAAAAGTCAGTGATCTCGAGGAAGAAACGTTTAAAGTTTCAAGTTGGCATTCGTATAAAACAAAACGATGGCCATTTCCGCTGCCGTAACTTCATCAATTATTCGAACGTCAGAAAATCCTTCGAACATAGTATTCTATACACGTGAAACTCAAAGAAAGAACAAAAAGATTCTTTCTTCATCTTCAGAAACCAACACGATGGTGTGACTCGCAGTTTCTGTCCTAAATTTTGCTACTTTGCAAATTCGCACATTCAACATCTCACGTGCAAAGAGTCAAATAAAAATACAGTATAACATTTATGCTCTCTGTTTATTTCTCGAGGACGATACATACATATATGCAAACAATCATTTATTATAAAAAAAAAGAATTAAGAAGTAATTTTTATATATTTTGATTTCTAGTGCTCTCTTGCTTCGTGTAATCCCTGAAATGTGGAATTTATATAAATTTGTTGTAATGTCAAATTTAACATCCCTCTTAAACGTGATTAATTGGTGGATCTGCTAACAACAAATGTCATCTCCTTCGAACATTTTTAAATCGAGCAATACTAATACGTTCTGCAGTCCTTCAAATTTCTCTGTTTCATCCTTACATTGAACTCTTCAGAACAGTAAATCAGCACTGTACCAGCATATTTATCGTATAGAAATTTCACTCGATTTATTTCTCGAGCACATACATACGTACACGTTCCTCGAAGTGAAAAGGATTACAATCAAGGATTGAACAGTGATAGAATCAATAAAATCCAATTTGAAACCGATGTTTACACTTGTCCTGCCATTTAGCCGCACTACTTCAGAAGAAGGATGCTGATGTGTCCCGGAAGACCACCCCAGCCGATACCATCCTCCGCTTACGGGGTGAGTGTACACGAGTTTCTCTCTTCTGGAACAATTTTCGTCCTAAATGAGAAAAATAGAAATATAGAGGAAGAGGGAAGGAAATCACGAATCGAGTGTTTCTAATTCGATTTTCAGTGGCGGATACCGAGCGGATGTTACCTGAGGTACACGAGAATCTTCTCCGGAGCGTACACCGTTCAGAACTATCGAGGACAGAGGCAGAACGCTTATCAGAAAGCGAGGGCGGCTTATCACGAAGTTCATCCCATTCACGGAGGCCAAGGTCAAGTACAACTACCCGCTTCGTATCCCATCGGCGATTGTAAGTCCCTGCACGTTTCTACACGCTTCTGTCCTTTCTAATATACAGTTCAGTCGAACAAGTCCACGTGCATCTGTGAAAATTTCAAATATTTAAGGGACGAGTGTCTTGCAGATTTTAAACAATTGATCGAAACTAGATCGTGTATCAAATATTGGCAGTGTTTCTTATGATAACATGATCTGTATACGATTGCCAAGAATTATGTTTATAAAACGAATGTAGTTTGTTCTGATTGTAATTGCCATATTTGTACACTTCAAATGTATTCATGGTAATTGTTCTTGATTTCCTGTTTCGATGAATTCTTTGTTTTTGTTTCTTTGTTTTTTCTTAGAATTGTATGAATTTATCTTATACAAATAAATTCAATGAATATATTTAATATTCTTATTGCTCTTTAGACATTTGAAATTTGGCAGATGTGGGGTGTACTTTTGTCACTGATTCTACGTAATTTTCGTAATTTTTCGTGTTGATTCGAAGTTTTGCATTTGTATTTTTATGCGGTCTTTAATTCTATAAAGGACTGGCAGTTTCTTTAATCAAAAAAGTTTTAATACTTTTTCTTTTGTGAAAACTTGAAGGAATTTTGTCACTCTTTCAAAACTTAAATATTTAACATATAAATACATAATTATTTTTAGTTAATTATTTTGCTAAATATTGATATCAATGAATAACACTATACGAAATATACCACCATAGAAATAGAAAGTCACGAAATTCTTGTAAATTTTGAGCTATTTAAATGGAATTCTGACAAACAGAGATATATAAAATTACAAAAGTTAATTATAATGCAGTATAATTGACGTACATCACAAATAAACAATATATGCAACTCTTACCATAATTAATCATCATATATAGAAGTTAAACAACCATCACTAAAATTAGAATCGAATATACAAACTGGATTTACAATTTAATTCTCGACAAAATGATTATACATTCTATCCCATTGCCGAGGTTATGTCAAGTTAAATACACGCTTGCGTTGAAACCTCCTTCTTAATGAAAAATTTACACTCATTATCGCAGACAATATAGTACTATATAACAGAGTGTAACCATGCGCAGTAATGGCTTTAGCAGCAAGAATAATTAACTTACAAGTATACAATAGCATGTGAAATTTCCGCTGATGTTCTACCATTGTACTTTCTACATCTGCTCATCAACTTGCAGCAGGGAAGTTTAAAACAGAGCAATGTTTATAATAAATCTGGCGAGCAATTTTCGTAATCGTGGCCAGAATTTCCATTTTATTCAAGTACTAGAATATTCGTTGAAACTGGGAGAACATTAACCCCCGTTCTACGTACGAATATTCCGGCGAAAACGAAATTAACTCGTTGCCGGCTAAATGGATCAATGTGTTGCGCGTGTAATGTTTTTTTTTCACAAAAATCTCGCTCCGTTGGGAAAAATCTCGGGGGGAAAAAAAGGAAATTCGACTGATAAATTAATGGACTGACCTTTCTCCAAAAAAAAAAAAGAAAAACGAAAATTAGCTCGCAAGAATAAAACCGTGGGGATTAACTTTTAAACAGGGATTTTTTTTATTCTAATTGTTGTCGCGGAAATATTTCAACGCGGTGGCTGAAACAAAGTGGAGGACGCGACGACGCCATTTGCGGTCGCGCCGTGCACGATCGCGAAAAAATTAGTATCATTTGCGAGTTGCACGACAAGGTGGTAACTCCTGCAGGACCAATTATGGTTTACGCTAGGAAAAATGTCCACGGCTTTTTTCACATCTGCTGCAAAGAAAACCGAGGATAGGACGTTAAGATAAAATGTTTAAATAACACGTGGATCTATTACAATTTGACAGAGATTAATTATCAATGCAATGGAATGATAAATTATTAAAAAGTTATTAAATGAATAATGAAATAAATGATAGTTTTTGACTTTTTTTCTAAATGAGCAAGTATTTTATGGCTTACTTGCTATCTTCGTCATCGTGTGTTATTTTTAATACAGGCATCAAGTGCTCTTTTCAAAGATTACTAGTCAATTACACGATACTTTTTTTCAAATTTAAAATATAATAAAATATAATACTTTCGGAGCTGTTTGTTTTGGAAACAGGGTTAAATTACAATCGATTAGATTTAGATTGTAAGTGTTTATGCGGATTTATATTGAAATATACGATTAAATGTGTAATTTTGATTTAGCCCTTTTATTTTTAATTATTCCCCATATTTATTGTAAGTAATAAAATTTTTCAATTACACGTGTATTTTATAATGGAAGTATAACTTCTTCGTTGCCCAAATACTATTTCGTTTCTTGAATTTTTAAACAATTCCTAGGTCATCACAGAGATATACGTTTATCTTTAAGTTTCCCATAGATGCATAAACACTGTCGCTGTCTAACCATAATCTGCCTCGCCGTACTTCTAAGTACAATTACCAATTCCTACGACTCAGGAAACTTTCGTAATATCGACTTGTTGCTATCTTCAGTTTCTCCCGTTATAAAAGCTAAACGTTCATAAACGTCGCCGATTAAAAACCAACTTTTCACATGAATTCTTGCACGGATAGAATTCTCTTTCTTTTTTTTTT